TCACCGTGATCTCAAAAGACGCCCCTCCGTCGCAGAACAAGACAATCACGTCATCAGAGCTCGACATCGACCCGTCCCTTCCAGCCCCACAACGATGACAACTCAGTGACCTTCTCGCCGTGTTCAGTCAGTGCTTCTCCAGGTCGTCGAAGGTGCGTCAAACGACGGTTGCGAAACGTCGAATAATTACAGATGACGACACACTCCCTCTGCATTGGCCGCCATACAGGGTCTCCATGAAAGAAAGGGAAGCCATCCAAAAGCAAGTTCAGGAAATGCTTAGTGACGACATCGTCCAGCCCTCAAACAGTCCGTGGGCTTCCCCAATAGTGCTGGTGAAGAAGAAAGACGGAACCTTGAGGTTCTGCGTGGACTATCGCCGGCTGAACGCAGTAACAAAAAATGACGTCTATCTGCTGCCCTGCATCGACGACACTTTGGACCGGCTGCACCACGCCCGATACTTTTCGTCGATGGACTTGAAGAACGGGTACTGGCAGACTGAGGTCGACGAACGAGATCGTGAGAAGACGGCCTTCGTCACGCCGGACGGACTGTATGAGTTTAAAGTAATGCCGTTCGGGCTGTGCACAGCGCCGGCAACCTTCCAGCGCGTTATGGACACCGCCCTTTCCAGCTTGAAATGGCAAAGCTGTCTCGTCTACCTCGACGATGTCGTGGTGTTCGGAAGCGAATTCGACGAGCACTTGAGACGACTGCGAGCCGTGCTGCGGGCCTTCAAGGCTGCTGGGCTGACACTGAAGCCCTGCAAGTGTCGGTTCGCCTATGGTGAGCTGAGAATCTTGGGCCACGTCGTAAGTGCTCGGGGTGTAAGGCCTGATCCTGCAAAGACGTCCGCTGTTGCCGAATTCCCGAAGACATCAGACAATAAAGGCCGTTCGAAGATTCCTTGGGCTGTGCGCCCAATACAGATGTTTCGTTCGTGACTTTGCGCAAATTTCTGCACCGCTGACGCATCTGATGAAAGACGACGTGGAGTTCCAGTGGGGAGAGGAGCAAGAGCAAGCGTTCGACGAACTCAAGCGAAGGCTCCAGTCGCCCCCTATCCTCGGACATTTTGACCAGTCGGCGGAGACTGAAATCCACACGGACGCCAGCAATACTGGTCTCTGTGCGGTACTCGTTCAACGACAAGAAGGGGCAGAGGGAGTAATCGCTTACGTAAGCCGGGCGCTGCCTAAGGCAGAACAAAAAAAATGAAAGCCGCTTACAACTCCCTGTAACGCCGAATTAGAGCGCAGCTCTTGAGGAGGAGGAGGGAAGGGCACTGGGGGGGGGGGTTAAACTAACCAGGGGGGGGTCACGTTACCTTGGGGGTCACGTGACCCCCAATGCCGATGATGTCATCACTGACGTCACTGATGACGTCATTTGACGATGACGATGCGGGTACCGATGACGTCATTAGTGACGTCACTGATGACTTCACCAGTGATGATGACGATGACGATGCGAATGTCGGTGACGTCATCAGTGACGTCGCTGATGACGTCATCAGTGATGATGACGATGACGATGCGGATGCCGGTGACGACATCAGTGACGTCACTGATGACGTCATCAGTGATGATGACGATGACAATGCGGATGTCGGTGACGTCATCAGTGATGATGACGATGACGATGTGGATGCCGGTGACGTCATCAGCGATGATGACGATGACGATGTGGATGCCGGTGACGTCATCAGTGATGATGACGATGACGATGTGGATGCCGGTGACGTCATCAGTGATGATGACGATGACGATGCGGATGCCGGTGACGTCATCAGTGATGATGACGATGACGATGTGGATGCCGGTGACGTCATCAGTGATGATGACGATGACGATGTGGATGCCGGTGACGTCATCAGTGATGATGACGATGACGATGCGGATGCCGGTGACGTCATCAGTGATGACGATGACGATGTGGATGCCGGTGACGTCATCAGTGATGATGACGATGACGATGTGGATGCCGGTGACGTCATCAGTGATGATGACGATGACGATGTGGATGCCGGTGACGTCATCAGTGACGATGACGTCATCGGGGGGTCACGCGACATCGGCGGGGGTCACGTGACCTCGAGGAGGGGGCCACGTGACTTCGGGGGGTCACGTGACCCCCCACGAGGTCACGTGACCTTGGTGGGGGGCTCGCGCGGTGCATTATGGGACATTTCCCATGATGCACCGCGCGGTTACGCCGACGCCGACGGCGACGGCGACGGCGACGCCGACGCCGACGGCGACGCCGCTCAAGCCGGAAACGGGCCCCTAAGAGCTGCGCTCTAATATTCAACGACCGACAAAGAATGTCTTGCTGTCGTCTGGGTGATCACGAAGTTCCGTCCGTACTTGTGAGGGATCCCGTTTCGCATGGTCACAGACCACCATGCCCTCTGCTGGCTCGCAAACCTCAAGGATCCGTTTGGACGCCTCGCCCGCTGGAGTCTTCAACTGCAGGAATTCGACGTGACCATTGTGCATAAGTCCGGCCGCAAGCATAATGACGCTTACTGTTTGTCTAGGGCTCCAGTCGAACCTCCCATTGCCGGCGTCGACGACGATGACGACGAATGTTTCCTAGGTGCCGTAGACATCAACGACGTGGCAGGGCTACAACGAGACGATCCTGAGCTGTGTGCCCTGATTGAGCATCTTGAAGGACGACGAAGTCCTGTTCCTCGTGTCTTTTCACGAGCCCTGCCCACCTTCATTATTCGACGAGGTGTGCTTTATAAGAAGAATTTCGGAGCCAGTAATTCGCTGTGGCTCCTGGTAGTCCCTACAAGCCTTTGAGAAGAAATCTTTCGAGCCTGCCACGACGACCCGACTTCAGGACACCTCGGTTACAGCCAGACACTAGCCCGAATACGTGAAAAATACTACTGGCCCAAGTTTCCGAAGACCGTCCATCTCTACACACGATCGTGCCATGAGTGCCAGCGACGCAAGGAACCGCCGTCAAAACCAGCAGGTCTCCTTCAGCCGATTACCCCGCCAACCAAGCCCTTCCAGCAAATTGGAATGAATTTGCTGGGTTCTTTTCCACCGTCGACGATGGGGAACCGCTGGATAATCGTCGCCTCCAATTATCTTATTCGTTACGCCGAGACGAAAGCCCTTCCGTCGGGGACTGCTGTCGAAGTCGCCAAGTTCTTCGTCGAGTCCATCGTCCTCCGGCATGACGCCCCCGAAGTCCTAATCACAGATCGAGGGCCATCGTTCATGGCACAGTTGACCCAAGAGATTCTTTGTCTAAGCCACACGGAGCAACGTCGAAAAACTGCAAACCATCCGCGGACCAACGGATTGTCGGAGCGACTCAACAAAACAATCGCCGACATGGTCTCTATGTACGTCGACGTGGAGCACAAGACCTGGGACAAAATGCTGCCCTACGTCACGTTCGCCTACAACACAGCAGTGCAAGAGACCACAGGAGTGACACCCATCCAGCTGGTGTATGACCGGACGGTGACGACTATGCTAGACTCCATGCTGCCGCACGAGTCAGTCGACGACGGGAGCGATGACGCCCAGGTGTTTGCTCAACGGACAGAAGAGGTCCGCCAGCTAACAGCTAGCCAGACTACGGATTCAACACCAGCAACATGTCGACGCCGGCCGCTACAACCTTCGCCGGCGTGACGCCCACTTTCAACCCGGAGATCGGGTATGGGTGTGGACACCAATACGGCGCCGCGATCTCAGCAAGAAGCTTCTCAAGCGCTACATCGGACCCTACAAGGTTCTTCCCGACGGAACTCGACCATCAAGAAGACGTCAACCGCGACCTGAAGTAGTCCACGTCGTACGCCTCAAGCCGTATTACGAACAATATAACTTTGGACTCTCGTCAAACTGTGAACTGTGGCTCGCGATGCTACTGTCCCTTTGTCGTGAGTTTGTGTTTTCGGTTTTTGCTGCATCGGGACGATGCGTCACGGGCATGTTGAAGGTTCTCGTTTATTCTTGCTCCGGGCATAATTTCTATCGTTTATCCCTGCGTTTGTTTTCCTAGAAAGGGCGTGTTCATTCTCGCCCCGAGTGCGCTACGCTCGAACCTTCTCCGCCGAATCTTCGAGATAGCGACGCACTCTAGATAAGAGTCCGCCCGCGACCTTGTCGAGTCAGTTACGCCTCAGCGTTCGACTCTGCTGTCACGCCGACTTCGACGCCCGCGACGCTTTGCTTTCTTCTCTCTCCCATTAAACATTTCAGTTTTCCTTAGTTATTCTTTGTTTCGCCTTGTCATGCGTGACAATATAAGGTTGGAAGCAGTTCATTGTTATGAGCGCTAAAGATGCAAGTCTTCACACAATAAAGTAATCGGAAAAATAACGGTTACTTGTTAAAGTAATGTCCAATTACTTTTTCCGTCGAGTAATCAAGTAATCTGATGGAATACTTTTTAGCCAAGAGTAATTGTAATTGTAATCGATTAGTTTTTTTTAGTAACGTGTACAAGACTGGTTCTATGCAAGAAATGCGGAGGAAGAGTGTTCAGAACCTAAGACACACGCGAAATGATGGCCAAGAAAATTCGCCTGTCCCTCTAGGTTCTCTGGACAGACCTCATTTTGGGTGAAAAGCAGGACTAAGAAGGCATGGTATCGACCATCGATCTAATAAACTTTATCCAAGTATTCTTTTAGTGTTGCAGAAGAGGCGTACTACTGGAAATCATGTTGCTTAGACTGGCGGCCAATGTATCTTGCCCAAGTTTAAACTTGTTTAAACGCGAGGAGATTGCCCAGCGTGGGGTAACGCCGGAAAATATCCCACGCTCTCTGTTGTCTTTTTCGTGATTCCGAACTCACCTAATTTTACCATGGCTTCCGTTTATGAGGAAGCTGCGTGGAAGTCGTAGGACTAGCCAGTGATGCTTCATAAAACTCACTTAATAGTTACGTAACCTGGTTCAGCGAGAGTTTATCAAATGATGTTTATGCAAGCTATGTCGCCTCAGTAGGAACATAACAATTATTTTTCTCGAACTTCCAATAGACAGTCCGGATCGACACGCACTGAGGAAATATGTTTATGTTTATTCTTATTTTCAGTGACCCACCAACAGCTTGACGCCTCCTTAGTGGTGCACTTATTCGTTCAGAAATGCTGCGCTAAACAGGATAAAAGCGAAACGTTAGGAAAAAACAATAGCCTCGACACGGTGTCGAAAGTTACGCGTTTCATCAAATATATCAAGGCTAGCATTCGGACAAGTCTGCTCTAAATGGTTATAAGTCAATTGTAGGCGTGTCATGGGCGCAGCATGGTAAAATTTGATAGGATAAAACAAATTATAAAGTCTACAAGACTGACGAGGAACGTGCAAATAGATGTGACTGAGTAGCTCTGGGGAATCAATTATACCATTTACAATCTTCTACAAATATGTTAGTTCACGAATTGTTCTCCTGTTGTGCAACGAGTATAACTTCACGAGTTCACAAATCCTCTTATAATTATAAAAATAATTCGGTTGAAAATAACGATCAGCCAAAACACGAACAAACCTACGTTGAAAGCTCTCAATCAATCCTGAATTTGTCACTCCAATAGAGTTCCAGACAACTGAGACATACCCAACACGACTACGCACCAGTGAAGAAAACAAACGTAAAATACAAAGTGGTTTAGAAAAATTGCGTGTCACTCGTGTAATGGCTCCCAGCACTCTAAAGGAAGCATTCGTAATTGTGGTCACGTGATGGTTGAAATTAATTGCAGGATCCATAAAAACACCTAGATCACGGATGACCTCAACACGAGTAATATTGGTGGAATCTAATGCATAGGGAAAACTCAGAATTTCACGCTTCCCAGAAAAGGACAAAACTTTCGTCTTTGACTCATTTAAGAGTAGGTGATTTGAAAAACACCACGCCGAAATAGAATCTAAATCGCCCTGAAGACATTCACAATCATCAACCGTTTTAACCGCTGTAAACAACTTAATATCATCAGCAAATAACAAAAACCGCGTGTGTTTAATACAGGAAGTTAGATCATTTACGACAACTAAAAACAGCAAAGGACCGAGGTTACTGCCTTGAGGAAGCCCAGAAGTCGATAAAAAAGGAGCAGATAATCGGCCGGATACTCGCACAAAGTTCAGCCGATGAGATAAGTAACTATCGAGGAGACGACAGTACTTAAGGGACAGACCGTAACTACAAAGTTTACTCAACAGTAATCGGTGATTAACTTTGTCAAAAGCTTTGCTCATATCAAAGTAGACTACATCCGCTTGTCCTCCGCTATGGACAGATGTTACAATCTGATGTAGGAAGGAACACAGGTTTGTTTCTGTGGAGCGGCCTTTCATGAAACCATGTTGCTCAGGAATAATCTTCCGACAAAAATATGCGTAAAGGCGGGTGCGCAAAACAATTTCATAAACTTTAGAAAAACTACAAAGGAGGGAGACTGGCCTATAGTTGTTAACCATGAATCGATCACCCGATTTATGTAACGGAACAACAGAGCGCTTTCAAGCGGTAGGAAACGTTTCAGATGCAAGTGATAAGTTAAAGATATGAACCAAAACTGGACAAAGGAGTGGAGCACAACCTTTTAATATGAAGCTGGGAATTCCATCTATTCCCGTAGATAACTTTGGTTTCAATTTTTTAATTGCCTCCAAGACTTCAGATTAATTAATTGGAATAACAGTCAAAAATCCAGGCTGGTTATATTCCAGCTAGACATTTGGCCATTGTTTGTACTGAAAGAAGCACTAAAGTGGCGCGCAAAAATGTTAGCTACATCAACAGGGTTAGAGACGCTATCCTCATTATCTCGCATTGTGATCGTGGTAACATTCTCTTTGATGCTCTCTTTGGCAAACTTCCACACCCACTGTGGCTCTGTGCTCAATGATTGCTCGGCAATGTCAGCATGTTGTTGTTTATCTCGTTTCGCGTCTGCACGACATTGACTAAATCTCGTGTACCAAACAACATTGCCAGTTTCTTTGTACCGGCGGTGATAGTGTAGCTTGCGCCTTAAGCAATGTCTTAGTTCCTTCGAGAACCACATGGGATAGTCACTTTTATGAGACACCCTCTTTGGTATAAAGAGTCGCATGCTTTCCTGGACAATAGTCAAAAGTGTGGAAGTTGATGATTCAGCACACTGATCAACTAAAACACTACTCCAGTCATAGTCCCGAAGATACTGATACAGTGAATAGTAATCACCGTTGAAGTAGGAAAACCATTATTGTGAATGGAAAATTCGCTTGGCAAGTGGGAAGAAAAATGATACTGTGGGATGCTGCGTCGTGGTAACAAGCGAATCCCAACATAGAAAAAGGAATGGCGGTTTTATTGCCTTGATGGCGGCGGTCGACGGACGTTCCTGAGTCCGTCGACTGCCGCCAGTGTGTTGAATCTGGACGCTTGAGGATGCACTCGGGTTGTTTCATTCGTCCGAAAGGATATAGACGTGGCTTCGGCCTTCTTCACCGGTTGGATCTCCCGCTTCGGCTCCCCTCGCCGCGTCACAACCGATTAAGGAAGACAGTTCGAATCTCAACTCTTCAGGCTCCTCGGGCTCACCACCGGGTTCGAGCGCTTGAGGACCATTAGTTACCATCCTTGCGCCAATGGGATGATTGAGCGCTTCCACCGGCAATTCAAGGCAGCCATCATGTGTCACCCCGACTCAACATGGCTCGAAGCAATCCCAGCCGTCACCCTAGGTCTTCGCGCTACCTTCAAACCGGACATTCAAGCTTCACCCGCAGAGCTAGTCTACGGGAACCACTTCGCCTACCAGGGGAATTTCTTGCTGCCCCACAATCCAACATCGCCACATCAGACCCCACCGATTTTGTCACCAGGCTCCGACGCACTATCGCCGCCCTCCGCCCGCCACCTGCTGCGCATCACTGCAAGCCTACGCCTTTTGTTTTTAAGGATCTGGCGACGTGCACACACGCCTTCAGGCCCGTTCACACACTTGCGTTCGGAGCGACCACTATGCTTACGAACGAATGCAACCACTGCGACTTCAACGACAACTGTGCGCGACGTGTACGCACACATGCAACCGCATGCAACTATACGAAGCAACAGCCAATGAGAAACGAGCTTCAGCTCTTGCTCCTAGCCAATAGTAAGCAACCCAGCTACGCTTAGCAACATGGCGGACGGTTTCCTGCCCGACGCGAGGTATTCAGACTCCTCACCGGAGCAGCCGGAGGTTTCGGCTACGGTGAACAGTCACGAAGATCTGCTGTGCGCCTATAATATCTGTGTAAAGGCTGGTTCTGATATCTGCAACGAACCCGTTATCCACGACTGCGTCCGTTGTGATCAGAGCGACCGGAACGACCGCTCTGCGCCGCGCGTACACCGCGTACACTCCTGCAACCACTGCCACAAGCGCAGCGGGTCGGCAGCGCGGCGACCGCCTCTCCGCCGCCGTCAGCTGTTTCAGCGGTGCTCCTAAAAAGAAGGGGACGCTCTGCCACTCACTTGCGTAACAGAAAATAGTCAGACCGTCTTCTATGACCTAAACTTTATTTTTTTTTCTTTCAGGATACGCCTGCAGGGTAGCCCACTAAAAAAAGGAAACGATGCAGTACGCCGTCTTGCACGATCACGAATTTAATACACGATTTTGCCAACAGTACAAATCTCGCCACACGCCTTTTCTACCACCATAAAAGACGATGTACTTTTAGCAGCGATATAGCAACGCAGAAATATAATTTCGTGATCAGATAGGCGTTGCGAGCGTTCAGGATTGTTTACACTAATCACCTTTCTCGGGTGATGAAAATGCGTCAAAACTCGCATTCTTTATACGGTACGCACCAGTAATATCTTGAACTTTAGCACACGCATGGAATGCGCCAAAAAAGAAATCCGGACGATGTTCGAGGACACAAATACTAAGAAAGCACCACTATAGTCGAAGTAAACGAACACGACGGCACGGGCGTTTCTCCTGCTGTCTTGAGAGTGCCGCCACGAGATCGCCGCACGAGTAGGTGGATCTTCCCTGTGCTGGGTTATCATAACGACACACGACGAAAATTCACAGTCAAGGATAGCGCTTTTACGGTAAACGACGAGCGTCCACCACGCCGTCCATGTCGACGATTACCACCGACGCCATGTTTGCAAATGGAAGGAGCCTGGCACGACCGGAATGCAACGCGCGCGACCGAGCTCTACTCGACCTGCGATTGGTCTGTCGCTCCCGTCGTTCCCGAACGTAACGAAAAAGTTCAGCCCGGCTCAACTCCTTGCGTTACGAACAACCACGAACGAAACGACCGTTTGGCGCTTCGTTGCTATGGTAACTCGTCGTTCCAACCGGTTGCATTCGTTCGTAAAGGTCCATACGCACGTTCGCGTTTGAACGCGTTTGAGGCGTTGTGGAGTCCTTGCGGCCAGGCGCGGTCGCTTGCGGAGCGACGCGCGCCTTCCCGCAACGCTCGGTAGCGCGATGCAAGCGAGTAGAGACTCCCTCAACTTTCCGATGCGTTGCGGTGCGTTCGGGTGCGTTCAGGCCCATACGCACATTCGCGTTCGAGCGCGGTGCGTTCCGTAGCAGCAAGCGGGTGCGTTGCGTTGCGAAGACCGCTTGCGCCAAACTTGTACGCACCGTTGCGTTAACACGCAGTCAACCGCAATCAAGAGCCAATAAGAACGCGCTATCGTCGCTAGTGGCTCACCAATAGTAAGCGAAATCCAAGGCAACATGGCTGCGCTCGGCGACAGCGTCGAAGTGTTCGATCTCTGGAGAATCTCGCCGGCTTCCCCGACGTTTTGTCAAGCTTGAACCATCGCAGCCTTGGAAAATACAGTCCCCACCGCTCCCCAAAACGAAAAAGCAAGCACTGCGACCGGCGAACAGGATACGTCTCGCCGAGTCGGCCGGGTGGGGCGAGCGAACACGTCACCCCATCTCCTCTTTCGGCCTCTGATTGGTCGAACGCACCCGAACGCACCGCAACGCTTCGGAAAGTTGAGCGAGTCTCTACTCGCTTGCGTCGCGCTACCGAGCGTTGCGGGAAGACGCGCGTCGCTCTGCAAGCGACCGCGCCTGGCCGCAAGGACTCCGCAACGCACTCAAACGCGTTCAAACGCGAATGTGCGTATGGACCTTAAGCGTAGTGGTCGCTCCGAACGCAACTGTGTGAACGGGCCTTTCCTCCGCGACGACACCGTCCGCGCGCCTTTTCAGCCGCCTTACAACGGACCCTACCGGGTTACCCGTCGCGACGAGAAAGATTTCACTATACACGTGAACGGGAAGGACATCCGCGTTTCTATCGACCGACTGAAGCAGGGTGGTCGGCATTGTCGGGCTCTGTCCCCGAAGCGCCGATGGTAGTAGCATCGGCTACTGTCACAAGGCTGCTGCGACGGGCCGGTGTTACGGTCACGGCTCTGTGAGCGGTAACGGGGGCGCGTCGGAGGACTTTGATCCAGGCGTCGTTGAATGGAGCTGAGCTGCCGCGGGATATCGTCGATTCGGTGCGCGAGCTCTGTTTTGTCCAGCGATGCTTCGACGGCGTGGACGGTGGGCGACAGCGGCGGTACAGAGACCTCGATGACGCGGTCAGCAATTTCGGCAAGTTGGTTGAGAGCTAGCGTAGGTTGAGCCTGTAGAATGGCCTGGACGTGTGGTGGTAGTCGTTGGAGCCATAGTGTCCGCAGTAAAAAATCGTGGACTTGCGTGTTGCCTGCGAGAGCACGCATGTGGCGGAGGAACTGTGATGGTTTGCGCTCGCCGAGTTCTGCGGACTGAATGAGTTGTCGGACTTTCTGGTCTTCCGATAGTGACAGGCGGCAGGTGAGTTCAGTTTTCAGATGTTGATAAAGGTTGGCCGCTGGTGGATTGTCGAGGATATCCCGTATCTCGTTGGCGTAGCGGCTGTCCAAGTGGGCGACGACGTAATCGTAGCGCGTTCGATCTTGGGTGATGCACGCCAGAAAGAACTGCGCCTCGACTTGTGTGAACCATACCTCAGGCGAGTCCGCCCAAAACGGCGGAAGTTTGACGGCTACACGGCAGACGCCGAGTGAAGCAGCGTCCGAGATGACAGCTGCAGGGGTTCCGCCGCCTGCTGCGGTGCCGGTAGGCACGGGCGGTGTTGTGTTGGCGTTAGCAGGGTTCTGTTGCACGGGACCATCGAGTTGGTGCTGCTGTTGCTGAATCTGCTGCTGTTGCCTTTGAATCAGTTCCTGCTGGGTCCGAATCTGCTCCTGGAGTTGTTTCATCTGTTGTTGAAGGTCCTCCTGGTCAGCCATGGCGACGTGTTGTGTTCGTTTTCCGGGTCACCAGATGTGGGATGCTGCGTCGTGGTGACAAGCGAATCCCAACATAGAAAAAAGAACGGCGGTTTTATTGCCTCGGTGGCGGCGGTCGACGGACGTTCCTAGTCCCGCGTGCCTGTGTAGCGCGCGGCCGTGCTTCCCAGAAGCAGACGACGACGAGGTTGTAGTGCGCCAGAATGTTGGTGATTGTGCGTCGCCACAATACAATAAAAGCTTGATGATAGTTATCCATCCGAGATAGCGGAGCTTTGGCAAGACTGATATCAACAGCCGAAGTGACCAGGGCAAGGTCAAGTATGTTTCCACAACAGTTGCGTACAGTATTACGTTGTTCAAAACCATTGAAATGAACGAAGTCTAACAGACAAAGTAGCTTCAACATTGTGTTCGTATGAATGACTAAGAAGCTGCCTGACTCCCAATCGTAACCAGGTTGAAATCGCCATACATGTGCACTCGAAATTTAGAGAAGTCAATTCTTTCTTCCAGGAAGTTGATATGCTCACAGAAAATAATGTGATGAAAAATCGGCGGAAAATAGTAATTGCCAATGAGCAAGTTTCTACCATCGGTAGACAGTACTTCAATCCACACGCTCTCTGGATAACACTCGAGATCGCTCCTCCGATGAACTTTCAAGCTCCTGTCTGCAGCAATCCAGACACCTTTCCCAACCTCTTTCTCGTTTTCACATAGTCACGATCACGTCTATATATTTCATACCTGGGTGGAAAATAATTAGATTTAGAAATTCCATCCACAAGCCAAGTTTCTGTTAGGCATATGATTGAACACGTGCTTGACATAACCACCGAAAAAAACTCGGCGTCCTTAGTCCTCAAACCACGTACATTCTGATAATAAATGGTACACTCATCATTAGAAAAAATCGGTAAGTCATCGCATCCATGTTGGTTAGGGTCGGCGACTCATGTAAAAGAAGTAAGAAGGGAAGCACTACAGAGGGAATGATCAATACACGAGGATAATAATATTGATGGGCTAAAACAGGTCGATTCTCGCGTTCTAAAGAGGAAAATTGAAAGACGCATTAAAATTGGTTCAGTCGTTCAAACGCGGGTGTTAACGTGGTCGCTACCACATAACGAGCTGTTTACATTGACATCACCAAGCAAAAGAAAAGCCTCCGGCAGCTGAAGCAAGGGAACTTTAAAATCACTTAAGGTAAGAGCAAAAGAGGGAGGTATGCACAAGGAACACACAGTGATCACTTTGTGAAGAATGTGGCGCACCGCCACTGCCTCCTGTCAAGTGGTGAAATCTGCCGCAGAGCAGGGAATGTGCTTTGGAACAATCACGGCAAACCATCCCGCAGAAATAGACGCGTCGTCCCCCTTTGGTTTTCATAAAACTGCAATATCGCCTAAGGCAATTTGTACGACTTGCATTGGGATGAATGTCTTGCAGACATATAGCATGTGGCCGATGTTCCTCCAAGAGGAACTCCACATGATCAAAGTTTCCTTAGAAGGCTACGACAATTCCATTTAATGATCGCAGACATTCTTCACGTAAATGCCCCTATTAAGGAGGGGGGGGGGGGGGGGTGGCGAAGGGGAAAGAACCCTAGGGATGGCAAAATCATTTTGGGTGGAGTACCGTTTTTTTCCCGTCTGTTTCCGATTTGGTGTCTGCCACTTAATTCCTTTATGTCAGTTCCTTGAGCAGAAAGAGTGCCAGCATCAGTTGTCACCTCTGTGTCCAAAGCATTCTTGGCAAGCCTGTCTGGAGCCTTAGAGCTGTCAGAAACTCCCACCGCGCTTAACCGCTTGGCGAATTGCCGAGCACTGGCGGAGGTCGTCGGTGCCATCCACGGCGCCAACCACGATGCCTAAGGGAAATATCCACGTCGCATCTCCGTCCTGTGGTACGAGACGGCACCAATCCACCCGCATCGCGCGGTAGCGCTACAGCTATCGCTTTCGGTCCTTCGCACATTCTGGACGAAAACCATTTTGTTCTCAAACAACCGAACCGGAAATCCGTACGTAGTGCCATTGCATCTTCATGAGTCACGATTCAGGCGTGCTTTCAGTTGGAGTACGAGCAAAAAATGCATTAAGTTGTGACGCACAAATTTGACGCTTAATATCCTGCGTTTATTGTCTTTACGCTGTAAAAAACGCCGATCAACCATCAAATTAAACAAGCAGAAATGGAGACGCCTCCAGTTAGTACACCTAAAAGCAAAACTAGTTAAAAACACTGCGTGACAAAAAACAGTGCCGTCAGCTTTCAAAGGCAAATAGAAAATTGACAAAAACATGGCACTAATGCCATAGTAGAAGCGCAGCCGGGCTGCGCTGCTACCATGAGGTCGCCTAACCTGCCCTCGAATTTCTTGTACAGTTGCAGTTACGCTGGGCGGTGACTCGCCTGGTTCTTCATGCCTGCCGTTCGTTATCCTAGCGGCCGAGGGAAGCCTGAGTTCTCAAGATCATCGTTGACCAGCGAAGGTTAAAGCAGACTTCGGGGGGAAAGGCGAGGAGGGGCTGAAACTTCCATTCTTCACGCTTTGTGGAAAAAGGGAAAAATAATAAAAGACAGAAAATATCACAGAGCAAGGAACTACAATAAAAGACAAACATAGCTAGGTGATTTCTCTCTTTATATGATGTCAGTCGTCTGGACGCAAGAAATGCGAAAGCACGCACCGCGTTAACTGCCCAGAAACGTTTTTTAATGGTGTTTTGTATGCCTGACATGTGTCAATGGCAGCTGGCGCCGTGATCTGGTCAATTATTCGTAACGCTGTATAGCATAGATCTGCGTAAACAAGGGTAGAGTCTGAACAGGTGCGTCCGTTTCATTGTGCCGGGACTGGCAGGCCAAACGCACATACGAGATAAACTAAAGCAGCATAGAGCGCTGGCTTCCTTTTGCAGCTGACAGTGTCAAGAACAAAATAAAGAGCAAAACAGCACTCCGCGCCAAATATCAACTAGCTAGGCGCTGCGACTGGCGTTCAACGAGTCGACGCAGTGGCGCCATTCGGTGTCTCTTATGTACACGTAACATATGTTCAAAAAGCAAAAAAAAAAAAAAAAGAAAAAAAGAAAAGAAATGAGAAAGGCAGAAAAGTTGCTTTAGACTGAAATGAAACACTTAACTAACGTAATGGCGACGGACTAGCTGCAACGGCTGCAAAAGAGGGTAACCCACACTTTTGTTTCGACATTAGGGGCAAAGCTGCTTAATGGCCCGAAATAACTGTGCAAAAATTGTTAAAATTGTTAGGAAAGCAGGCAAGTGTGAATCTGTAGGCATCCGAGGAATTATTAAGAACTATAAGCTAACTTTAGATAACTTTGCCGAGGCTATTTGCATGAACGAGGATTTTAAATCTGAATGTTTTAAAAAAAAGGTCAACGGTGCTGCTCCGAAGAAGATTACTGATGCCAAATGTTTGGGTGATTGCTTTAGCAACGAACTGTCCTGGGCTTTTTATTTTTATTTATCTTTATTCAAGTAACTACTTTGCCATCGTGCCATTACAGCAGGGTCAATACACAAGGTACATAAAAAAGGTACATATTCACTCCGTGAAAAAAGAGGTAATTGGTAGTTATGGTGGCCATGCACCCTTCAATTCTTATTTCGATAAGAATGATTGGGCTTCGTTTGGTGAATCTAGCATAATTGCGTTTATTAGTATTTAGGACACGTTACTGTTTGCCACGCCATGTCATGACTTTTTCGAGGTCCAACTGAAGTGAAATAGAATAATTTTGGTTTGTTACTTGCCTCTAAAACAAAAACGCAAGAACAATAAGCCATCCGCGTTGTAAACTGTATTAAGTGGAATTTCAGAACGGCCCATCAAACATTAAGGAATTGTTTCCACGACCAACCGCAGGCCAATCTGATGGTGTGCGTGCCCATTGTGGGACCCATATTTTTTAAATCAAATATCGAAGCTAGAACGCGCAAAATACACCCCCTTGTTTTGTGTCAAATAATTACAAATTCTGCTTAAGCATAACGAATTTAAAGCAGCACTTAGGTTGGAAATCACTTAAGATTAGAAAAGTGTCTTAAAAAATAGAAATTAATGTTTTGAGAGCCAGTGTGTATTAGGAAGAACAACTATCCGTATACTAATGATCAGATCTCATCAAAAGCAGATAATTTACTAAAAATATTATTAAAAAAATTAGAAACTAGCCGCGGAACAGGAACAGCTCACTATTTTGGCAGGAACTCGAAAGCGGGCGATCCACGTGGACAGAAGCGCGGAAGCGACAGTCTCGGCAGTGATGTCTGTGATGGGACAAGCCTCCGGCCAGCGCGTGAGACTGTCGATAACGGTTAAGAGGTACCGGTAGCCCTGCGATGACGGTAGGGGTCCGAAGAGGTCCACGTGGATGGTGGCAAAGCGGGTGTCCGGGAGTGCAAATTCGGCCAGAGGCGTAATGGTGTGCCGGGACGCCTTACTCTGTTGACAAACAATGCGCGCTTGTTCCCACACGCAGACATCAGCGTCCATGCCAAGCCAAACAAATCGTTCCACGATTACATTTTTATCTCCCCCCCCCCCCCCTACAATAACGGCCTTGTGGCGAGGTAGGTACTGTGTAAATAAATACGAGAAAAAGGAACACTTCATTTTTTTGCACGTTTTTATCGTCATACTTCTCCCTCCCTTAAGCCTTGCAACACTTTCTAAGGGATATGAGCGACGGAAGTAAGAGGGTCAGGGCAAATGAATTTAAGCAAAAATGAAAAAAGCAAAAAGTCGTTTTTTTTTTGTTGCAAAATATGACTGAGTGATTGCGCCACGTGATTTTACCCTTACTGTGTGCGGAAATGGTTTTCGCGATTTGCAAAATATGTAAGGAATGTTAAACCTGCCGTGGCATTAAACGCGTCTAGGCCATCCATACGGAAACGCAGCAAATGTAGCCAGCGTGCCAAAAATGCGACTTCCTCTCGTGGGACACCGCTTGGTTATG